TCATACAACTCGAATAACGGTGCGGCGACTAGTTTATAATTTTTTGGTACAGCGAATAAAGCTAAAAGATAACAAAGGTTACAACAGCAATCAATTAATTTACTACGAAAATTAAGCATGCTCAAGAGAGTGGAAATTACCTTTCTCTTGTAACTGTACAAGGAACAACCTTTTGTGTTCCTTTGGTTTGGTGATATGTGGCGGTACATAGGGATATTGAGGAGGTTCAAAATTGGGTCTCCACCAGTTTCCAATGGTATCTTCTATCACCCATTCTTGTTTGACTCCATCTTGACGTCCAAATGTCTAAAAATTAATTTAATATTAAACTATATTTCATTTCAGTTATACCACACTTTCATATATGTTTGATGTACGCGTTTAAAACACATCCTTCTTCGTTCAGTCCACTAAGAACATGGTTACACAATTTTATTATATATTTAAAACAACTATATAATCTTATTAAGATCGTTAACATTTAACCTCGTCAACGATTCCCTATATGTTCCTATTACTTTTGCACAATCGATAATATAAGCCAAAAGTATTTATTAAAATACTTTCGACTTTTTTGCTTACAGATACCTAATTGAATGAAACAGCTGTTGTACATAAATACATCATTTTAATAAGAATCTTGTGAAATGCATAAAGACTTGAAAACTACCTATATTGATCACACCAGGAAAAACCATAGTCCTGTACGATTCAATTAATAAATTCTAGCGAGAATTTTTAGTACTATCTATAATTTCATACAATTTTCCCTTTCGTTATTTGTTTCACAGATCACAACAAAAAGTTAATAACAATCTGTACAATACAATCTTCTTGTTATAATATTACAATCTTCGTGGTTTGCTTCTTTCATATTTGAACTAACACATACGAGCGAAATAAGAACAATGTTCTTAGCTAACCATGGCCCTTATATAAGGTAATAAGTTACAATTTTTTTATGGCTACGAACATTGAAGTGTCCGGGCATGCAGCACACTAAAGTGTATATCCTAATGTAATAAATTAAAAAGTCCCTATTTTGAGCTACAGGCCCGGTTACATAAGTTCTACAAACATTTTTAGGATTGGTATAATAAGTTCATAAACAGTGTTACAATCTAACATATCAAAATGTCACTCCTAGCTACCTCATAAGGTAGCATTAGGCGTCGTGCTAACTGTTACCTCTGTAAGGAGCCGTTTTAGGCCCTCTACCTCGTCTTCTCCTGCATTTAGTTCTCCACCAGGTCTACAAATGCAAAAAGAAAAAAAAAACAGAACAAATNAGCCGTTTTAGGCCCTCTACCTCGTCTTCTCCTGCATTTAGTTCTCCACCAGGTCTACAAATGCAAAAAGAAAAAAAAACAGAACAAATTTTTCATATGCCAATGAATATTAATGAAAACAGTTAATTGGAAGAGTAAATTGTACTCACAACTTGAAGAATGTTGTTCCTAATTGTAGAAGGAGGACATGTGGTAATCCATGTTCATGTACCAATAGAACTCCTTCTACACTGCGGCGCATTCCAATCTTGTCGAATTCATCTCTCATTCGCTGAAACCTTGCTGGCACTGACGGATCTTTCTCGAAGAGTGGCTCTTTTGTTCCAAATGTATAGTTTGTCAAAGGATATCTATGATAAATGAGTTGTATTTTTGTGTTAGGTTCTTATATGTTTAATAGAATCCTTCAGTAACTAAATCCAGTTTCTTCAACACTATTTCCACAAAAAGTATTACAGTATATAATCATAAAGATTATGCAGATACTCACTATGGATCGGATATTTTGAGCATGTAACTTTTCCTCTGGTAAGTTTCTATCAACTTCCATATTCGATATAAAATGAAAAATATTATTTTTCATGCAAGCAAGAAGAATAATGTACAAATTGATGGTATAAAAATCATTACTTTTATCTGACAATCTTCACATTTAAAAATGTATGTACATCAAATTAAAAACACATGTAANTACAGGTTGCATAATTCTTAGAACGCAACAATATGATTTGGATCATTATTTTGTACATTTTTTCTTTTACACAGGGCATCAAAGTAATTTATATTACAGAAGTAAAAGTAATGAACAGTGACAATTCAGGTACGCATTACAAAATAACAGTCACTGTTTAACATCTATCACGATGATCATGAGAAATAACAAAAAGTATTTTGTACGCAAATATACATTTAATGTATAAAAGAGGCCAATGTACCTGGTACACAATGGCTACTACTTTTATAAATTCATTAGTAATGGGTACGTACAAAAAAATGTAATGTTATAATAGAAATGAAATTTTCTTCAGTTTCTTAGTAATCAGAACTTAGTATAGTTCAAATATAATATACCCCATGTAAATGGAGCACAGAGGGTATAATTTTAATCTATTTTTGGAAATTTTAAGCAAACGTTAATAGTTCTCGTTCAATAAATGGTATTGCGATATTTAAAAAATAATGATACGAAAATATAAGCACACATACTAATCAAAATTTTTAATATAATAAAACAGTTGGTTATGTCGTGTTATGGCGCGTGAAGGTAAATCGTTAAATTGAATTAGCATTGGATATAATCAAGTCGACCGCTGCTTAAAATTTCCATAGTTACTTAACAAAAAGGTGAACAGCCGTCTCATGGTTGTACCATGTAAGATGCATTGAAAGGTGTTAGGAACATAATTTTAATTGCTAGCGTCTCTTAACCGGCCATAGTTGTGTTCTACAGGAGAGGCAGTCAAAACATTAACTCTAAAAAATAATGTAATTAAGTCACATATTGATTATCACTTACAAATTAACTGTCCTGTTGATAGTTACAGACTGGTTCTGTAGCACTTTCCCTTCAAACGAACTGTTACTTGCTCTCCTCGGCCAGCCACTTCCCTTAACTTGAGTTGTTGCCATCGCCATTTTTCTCCTCGTTCGCTCTGCAAACTCAACGATCCAGGTTCTACCCGCGCAACCGAAGCACTTCTTGTCTTCTCCAATACCCTGACACTGTTTTGCGAGCTAAACAGTGTTGCCAGATAATGAATTTACAGTAGTGTCTCGGAATACTGAGCTGAAATGAGCGATGACGGAGGCAAAGCGCCCAGAAATATGAGTGTGGGTATAGACACTTCGTTTCTCTGATTGGTTGACGCTTCACAGATAAGCAGTGCTGCCCTCATAGTTTTAGACAAAGAGAGGAAATGACGAGTAACCAAGAGAGCATACATCAACAACCCCAAGCGCGCGCGCGCGGCGCGCGAAACAAATCACGGACGACCAATGTAGTTTGTCTCACTTTACCATTCCTGCGAATTCACTCTTGTCGCGCATCTATTTGCCTGGTGTTTCATCTGAAATACACAGCGTGATATTCGACTTGTACTTTTCTCCCACAGTTCAACATATTTGCGAACGATTTGAAACGACGATCATTTCTACAATTATTAAAATTTTCGAAAATCGGTAAGCTACATTCGTAGCTAATGGTTTCTAGCTTATGAACCTACAAAATTTTGTTAATTTAGCTGTCCCTTCACTTGTCAACTGGAACGGCTCGGAATCAATGCTCTACTTTGCGAAAAGGATTTTCAAAAGCTTCGAATAATTCCGCAATTTTATACGATTTTCACTTTTAAAAATTTGAAAAACAAAGCTGAAACTTGCATTCATATAGAAGGCGAATAGTACAAGTCGAATATCGCGCCACGTGTTTCAGATGGGGCGCCAGTCGTACGAATGCGCGAAGAGAGAAACGGCAAGCACGGTAAATTGAAACGGCCTAAGTTTGTTTTTCGCGCGGATACTCACGCATAGGGCTCGCTGGTTTCTTTCCGTCTCCCTCGAACGTCTCCCGTTCTCTTTTTGTAGCAACTGCGCGGACCTGGATGCGCATTAAAATGGTGGGAATAAGAATGCTTACTATGGTGAGACATGACTGTAATGTGTTGACGAACGATAGTAGCTCACGCTGTCAGCAGATGTCGCTTTCTGTTTCAATTGCAGATTCTTGAATTAACCAAATTCGGTGCAGAATGTAGAAATTATTGGTAATTTACATAAAAAGATAAATTAAAATATTAAAGAAATACATACTCATACAAGATTGCAAAGTTTCGTTATAATATATACGAATTTTCCATTAATGACATTGTAAATTGTCCTTTCACAACCGTTGCTCAAATATTTCTTCCGGAAAATTTTTATTAATTCAACGTTGGCAATTAAACTTCTTATAGCATTATACACCTCTACTGAGAACGACACTACATATTTTGATAAGAAAACCATTACTTTGGATCCATCAATTCACAAATCCTCTCGACGTCGAAGGAATTTAAATCTTTTTGCCGCTATTAAATGTTTCTACCATTTATCATTTAACTCAATGTACTATTAAACATTTAATTTTTCGCTACAGTGACCGTTGGTTAATTGAGACATCGATTTTGAAGTCTACTACATATTGAAAGTCCTTAAACTGAAAATCTGCGCGTTATGGCGATATTAATACATAAAATTGTAAACTTGTTCCTTCTTTTCATTACACTTTTCGATAAAATGTCAATAATAATTTACTATTTGTATACACAGTTTAATAACATACATTTCTAATGATTATATAATCTGCGAATTCTCATTTTGAATCGCTTTAATTCTTTTCTCACGAATTCGGTTATAAACATAGAAATAAGCAAGATCTTCGAAAAATTTTGACACGTAGAAACTTCGTAAAAATGTCGCATCTTTGGACTCCATCGCTTTTAAACGTGTTCGTAGCCGGTGACGCAATATTGCGCGTTCGAATCAACGGTAGATAGATAACGTTGACGCATTATTATTTTTCCTGCTAATCGATATCTCACATACTTACAAGTTTGATATTAAACCGGTTTAAACAGCCATCGAACGAATTGAAATTAATCTCGCAGAGTAACTTCACTTAATAATAATAATAATAATAATAATAACGTCGCTTACCTAGGACCAAGTACGATTCATGATATGTTCAAAAATCTTTCTTGCATCGTTCGAGTAGTTTAGTTACTTTGGACATCGTTCGTGTTATAACAATGCACGCACTAATAATAAATTAATATCGAAGCAATAGAAGAACATCGGCCAATAATCTATTAAAATCTTGAGTCATCGCGTAACAACTCTGTCGTAAGACCAGAGGCCATTGTTATCGCAAATCGGGATCCTGATCCCGGTTCGATTGATTCACATTTTAAGAGGCGGGTTAACAATGGCAGTTTATTGATGACGATCGTTGCAACGTGGGAGGACGATGATCTGTGCTCGGCAAGAGCCGCAAGGATTCAGGCGACCAATTGCTACTCTCGCCTCGCGATGATCGACGACTCGATCATAGTGATCCGAAACGAGGGACTTCCGGATAACGAGCGGTTTCGCCTCTGTAGTTGAATTCATTTCGACATTCGCACGCGATTCGTTTCGTTCTCTCCTTCAAGATAATTAAACTATATAGATCTTACCACATACTAGACTTATTAATAGATCACGCATGTTCATGCGTACGAAACATATCTCAGTGCGCGTTGCAATCGAGTTTTGTAAAGGTTTTACATTACTGAATGTGTCTATAACAATAGTAAGCGTTTGTTGACGACCTTTAGAGATTTTTCCATGGAAACTGGAATTTTCAGAAATATCCGCATATTTGATTAATTATTCTTCGATGGAAACATGTTTAGCGGAGGATTTTTATTTCTCTGCATAACTACGTACTATTTATACACACTCGAATAATTAGCTCCGGTGATCGTTCGACCGTCTAGAAATTTTCTACTCCATCTCGATTCGGATTATCTACATTCTACGATGTTTCATAATAGTGTTTTCGCTTTTTGGTTCACCGAAGAATTAATAAGCTTTTTAATGTAAATTCTGCCGAATGTGTTGTTCACCTCCTCCCCATACGGAGTCTCCGGATCGTTGATCGTCTTCGAATCTGGCCGAAACTGCGTCAATAGAGAGCGCATATTTCGATTCGCTGAATTAGTTTACAAAATCGACCAAGTTTTACGACACTTTGTATAGATAGATGGGAGGCTATTGCATCACTGTCAGTGCGTTTGTTTTATTACGCGATAAAGTTAACGGATTTATTGCTGCTAGATGGTTCGAATGCCCGGCGGAATGCTATGAAACAATAAATGGTTCCGGCTGTTATAGTTCGCTTTACCATCCATCCGAAGTTTTTATCTGTCGCACAGAACGACCTATTAATTTCTCAAAGGTTCGCGATTTGACCGGAAGAACAAATCTTCGCTGATTCTTTGTAAATCAAACGGTTTCAGGCGATTATTTGGTCTAATCAGTTTCCTATCCTTTGATTTTTCGACGTAATTTTTCCGGGAACAATGATTGTCTGCTTCGAACGAAGCTACTGGATCAACATGAATAGAACTCCGAACGTAAATACGGCGCGAGAACGAGGTTGGCCACGTTCGCTTTTTTCTGGAAGATAATTACTATATGTTCCGTCCAGAGGGTCACGTTCGTTGGGCTTTCAATTTCGTAGAGCCATCGTCTTCTTCCTTGCCATTTCTAAATTTATGATTTTCGAGCCATATTCATTCCGGCAATAAAGCCATTTCTGCTTTTTTGAACAATGCACACCTTCATCGGCAGCACTTATTATAACAGGGTCGCTAGCACGCACCGCTTCGGTCGCCCGTCCAGGGTTTCTTGCTACCTGCGGCACTGCGTGCTACGTCACTCTACATCCCCTTCCATCAGTTGTCACTTATCAGTTCATCGTCAATTAGCCTTTAGTCATTCGTCCGTCATTGATCAGTCAGTGTCAGTTCAACTCAGTTCATTTTAAACCAAATACAATTAGTCACCTAATTCTTAAAACCATTCCACATGTGGCGGCTCCACTTCCCGCTAGTAACCGATCCGCCTCGATCCCTATATATACAGAGACTTCGTCCTTCCTAGCCCCACGTCTAAGGTAAGGGCCCGCTAGGATAGCCTTACTGATGAGTCCTCTAGCGGGCCCCGGACGAAACGTCTCCCCTCTCCTTCTCCACAAGCATAGACACATTTCAACTGCCGCCAAACACATAAACCTATCATCCGTATCACTCGAAAGAGTCATACGGAATCACGCAGACTCGGTGTTATATAAATTGAATCGGAGACTTACGACCTCCGTAGGTCAAACAGTTTCACTGTTTGATCTCACCGAGAAAACGTGAAAAAACACTATACTTATCAACGAAACAGCTCTTTTTTTAAAATAGATACGGGGTGGAACTGTTGAACATAAACAGCGTGATAGAAATATTTATTGCAAAAATATTGGTTAACGATGAAGAGATAAGCCTAAAAGAAGAAATAAGAACTTGAACTATTGTCACGCGTTTTACATCGTGTCTCGGGCCCAACGTTGTTGCGCATACGAAGCGTTCAGCGGTAGTTAGCTTCCTGGAAGCCATGATTTTCCCATAATCTTAGGCGCGCCGAGTAATTTGTAGTCGTAAGAGTAGTCACGGAAGTATCGTTGGCGCTTTTAACACCCTGTACAAGAATAACTCGACTTAGAATTGTCTCTTTTCCGATCCTCCGTAGAATAACTAAACTCCCCGACGCAACAGTACAATCTCGAAAAACTTGCAATTTCGATAAGAAATTAACTTGTTTCTGGCACTTTATAGTCTGAACATTTTTCGAGACGATGAACTGACACGGCCAATCATTTTCGCAATAGAGATCCTGCAAACAGGAATTTTATTACCCAATTGATTTATTCACGCCCTTTTTATGACCGTTTCCGTGATTCTAATGCAAGTAAACCTCGCGCTCCGCATAGAATGGTAGACTCGAGGTTGGGAATGTAAGATTCGCATGCAAATTTCTCACGACGCTGTTTGCGGCGCCACCGGAGTTATGAAGCGTATCATTAATGTCGCCGCAGCGGCGCCAACGGAGTATAAAGGGTTAGCATTAAGTTTCAAAGAAAGCGAATTTTCCGTAAAATGAAAGAAAATACTGTATTCGAGCACGAGCGGTCTAACGCGACCCGTAGCGTGAAAACCGTTCTCTCGGTCTAATCCCGACTGCACTTTCAGCACCGACGAGGATGCTCGGCAGGCGATGATGCACGACGGCGGCAAGATCAAGGAAATGAAGATCAAGCTGTTGTTGAGCTCGCGGACGGAGATGCAAAAAGTCATAGAAGCTGCTAGGCAGCAGATCCTGAGCCTGCAGTCGTTCATACAGACAGTGCTGGTTGCAGTGACGCCAGTGGATGCCAAAACCTAGGTCCCCGGGCGACAGGTGGGAGAAAGAGAAGGACAACGGCAGCGAGTCGAGCAAGGATCGCAAGGATAGACGTGACAGGTCAAGATCAAGAGACAGATCGAGGTCCCGTGACCGGGATAGGGACCGTGACCGTCGAGACAGAGACAGAGGCCATGAATGTACGCGTGACAGGAGGGACAGGCGCCGTCGCCGCAACAGATCTAGATCCTGGGATCGCACGCGATCCAAGAACAGGGACACGAAGCGCAGTTCGACGGGAAATCGCCGGAAGGAGGCGAACGACGTCGTCTGCATGCGCCAGTTTCACAAAGACAAGCCCGTTTCCGGCGCAAAAAAGTCGCTAGAGAATGGCATCTGGGAAGTTCCTCTCCAGACGCAGATACAAGCTGCCGCCCTGTTAGCACCTAGGGGTCCTTGTTACTGTATGTATTTTCAATCAGGAAGACAGCCGATATGAGTACAAAACATTTGGCAGCCGGTAAGATAGTGTTACTACAAAATTCAAAATCCGCGTAAGTGAAAAGTATCTTTCTTTAAAAAAATTGTTGTTCCAGGATCTGTTGCCCCTCCCCTTAAACCTGAAAAAATACGTTTATACAGTATGAGATTTTACCCGTATGCGCAAAGAATTCATCTAGTCCTGTATGCAAAAATGATACCGTATGTAAATAAACCTAATTGTCGACTTTTACTTGTTTTTATTACTACAAGCTGTAACTCGAATAGCTTATTAATTTTACCTTATAGTATATCTTGTGAATACTTATCATATAAGTACTATTTATTTGTATTGTTTTTCTTTTAACTTGTTATTATTTCTTTACAGATATGATGTTGTTTATGTTAATCTAATGAGTAAACCAGAATGGTTACTAGAAAAAAGCCCATATGGTAAAGTTCCTCGTGTAGAGATGAATGGAGGGGAAACATTGTACGAAAGTCTTATCATTGCTGACTATTTGGATAAAGTATATCCCCAAAACATGCTAAATATACACAAAGTCGTCTTGCTGGAACACCTCATATGACTTAATTACTGCATAATTAAAAGTGGTTCAACAGATAACAATCACAAAATATACAGAGATGTTGCAATGAGAGAACTAATATAAAGAATGTATTTCTGTTCCTAACTTTTATATGGTAAATATATCTATTATGCTTTATACAAAAAGATGAAAATTATGTTTATGTGTACAAGAGCTTAGAAGAAATATATTTTCGTTGTAAAAAATATCTGAAATATTATAATTATTTATGTAAATATAAGGAAATATTTACTAATTAATACAATTTTGCTTTTGTTAATATCAAATTTAATTTTCATGAGATTAAAATTTTGTGAATTATATCGTGGTTTTACAAAATTACATTTGTCATAAAATTATATGTATATTAAAATCAATACTTGTTTGACAGAATTCATAACATAATACTAAAACATTTCACAGTTATATATATAAACGATAATGTTTAACAATATATGTACATCTTATAGTAAATGTCGATATAATCATAGCTATCGATAAGCAAAAAGTGGAAAAATGAAGTAAATACAAGGATTGAAGATTAAAAGTGCGAATGAGTTGTATAAGTACTACTTAAAAAATGATTTAATTTGTAGTGCTCGTCATATTATACATAGAACAAAAGTCTTTTCTGCCGTTTCACTCGTCATCTCATACATACATATATTTATAGTAGTTTCTGTTAACTTAAATAAAATTACTTCACTTTCTCGCTTATGTTATTTCCTCTTTCACATATAGATAAAATTAAATCTGAAACACGAAATACAGTATGTATTTAAAAAAT